GAAGCCCCCCCCCCCCGCCCCCCCCCCCCCAAAAAAAAAAAAAAAAAAAAAAAAAATCGAATGAATGAAGATGTAAACGTTGAGACGCAATGACAGCGGACCGCACGCCAGCACGCTTTCTTTATATGTTTTCAAGCGCCATGTTGACATCACCGGTCACCATGCAACACCCTCCCCAGCCAAGCCCCCCGCGCCCCCACACCCCCGCCCTTACCCTCGTCAGCATCACTCAGGAGCACGGCAAGTCAACATTAGTAAAGAAAACAAGAATAAGAGGAAAGTTCTAAACGTGGCATCGGCCTTCACATTGACAAGATAAAAAAATGCCCCAAAAAATCAAAGTCGAGGGCTGGATTTGGGTGACTGAGAGTAAGACTGTGACAAGAACAGGACCAACATATCTGTGAGAGGCAGCGGCCAGACCGGGATAGGACGAGACCAGCCAAGAACGGGATGAGACAAAGACCATAAAAATCCATTTTAAAAACTGTGACAAGGTCGAACATTGAAAGAGTGTTTTCATTTAATTATCCGTTCCATCCTCATGAGGGTCACGGGGGTCGCGCTGTTGGGTTTGTTTCTTTTTTGTTCTTTGTTTAACCAGGTACGTAACCAGAAAACCTGCCTTAAAGACTGCTCCTGCAGCTAGGTCGGCATTGCAAATGAAAATCTGTTTTCAATTGGGTTACGTGAATAAATAAAGGTGAAATATAAAATGTCAAACTTCAAAGTTGTGTTTGTCTGTTGATGTTTAAGATCCAGCAAGTATCAGTAATGAGTAATAAAGTACCGGCAAGTATCGGTACATTTTGGGTTATGTGGCGAAACGCTTCATGAGGCCTCATCCACCTGTCTCAAGCAACTTCAACATTCATTTATAAACCAAGGAAGTTGGAGACATTGCGCAAGAGCGCTCCGTGTTACGTGGGTCCGTTGTTGAGGGGGCCAACGTCAACAGGCTCCTGCAGGTTGCATGGGAGTTGATACAACCGGTGTGCATGTTCTTTGTGTTCACCCTCATATGGGCGCTTCAGATTCTGTCCAACTGGTTTGGACAGGGAGGTGCTCAGAGTACAACGTAGATTGACTGGTAAATCGTGAATTTTGCTTTTCGGTTCAGCTCCTTTGTCACCGCGACAGACCGAGACATATTCCTCACTGGAAACAAATCTTAATTTTTCTGGGCCATATGGACCGAACTCTGACACCTGACACCCGATTCCCCCGAGGGACACGGTCGAATGTCTTTGCTAAGTGCACAAAGCACATTTAGACTAGCTAGGCAAACTACTATGCAGCCCCCAGAACCCTGCTGGACCAAAACTATGCCACTTCTCTTGAATCCGATATTCAACTTCCTGATGGAACCTTCTTTTCAGCACGTTTGAATTGACCTTATCAGGAAGGCTGAGGAGTGTGATCCTACTGTAGTTGGAACACCCCCGCTGTTTGTGACAAAACTACAATTGATTAGGACAATATTTATACTGCATAGTATATATTCAGATTCAGAAAACTTTTTTTATCCCCGTGGGGCAATTAGAGTATATATGATCTAAATTGAAATAATTAACCATCATATGTGGTGGTATATATTATATTATATGTGCCTCTGATGTAAAAGTAAACTTTTGACTAAACTGTGTCGATGACGTCAGTGTTTGTTGTTGTGTGGACTTTTCTTAATTAACTGCTTGGGTTCTTTGCCTTCTCCTGGCGTGACCGACCAGCTTGTCAACACCTCTGACCGGGTCCCCACAAGACTCATTTAGGGCCATTAATTATTCAAAATGTTTTCACTCAATTTTGACTTGACTAATGAGTCATGTGGGTGTTGCGCGCCTGCACGTGTGCGTGCGTGTGGACACTAGTTGAAAAACCAAAGAATAAAACTTTTACAGACAGAACTTTTCTTAAGGGTAAGTTTAATTCCATTTTAATTTTAAATGGGCTTGAAATACCATAACATAAAATGTGTTCTTGGTCGTAAGCACGGTTTCCAAATGTGCGAAAGACATCTGAAGCGTACTATGGTCTCTGAAACAGCCGCGCGTTACAGGCTACAGTCGCCATACTGACCCGGAAGTACATAAACGCCCATTAAAAAATGTTTGCTTATTTAAAAAAACAAACAAACAAAAAACAACAACAACACAACACAAAACAAAACAAAAACAAAACGCAAGAGCGGGCAATTTGCCAGTAATGTGATGCTACAGAGCAAATTAAACCGTTAGCAAAACTCAAGAAAATCAAAAAAATAAAATAAAATAAAGTTGTCATAATAAAGGTAACCAACCAAATAGAAATTGATTTTATTATTTGGCACTTTCAGATGATAAAACAAACTCCGGGTCATACTGACCCATAGCGTTTTTGCTGATTCAAAGGGGAAAAAAATAATAATAATCCGCACGTGCCAAGATGGTGTCATACCTGGATGCGCCGATTCCTCGCTGTTGAAGGTTATCTCCTCATCCTTGACCATTTCGTTCCACATCTCGCTCAGTCCTTCTGCCGAGAAGGCCCACTGCCAGAGGAGACCAGACATTACCAAAAATAAAAAATAAAAAAAAGAATCAACGCATTGTTGTGCTGGAATCCGGTTGCTTTAGTTAAGATCAAATACAAATTATAACTTCAATTCCCTACAAGAGGCAATCTTCAATGTATCAGAATTAATGGTTTGTTCACATTTACTTCCAAATTTCCCGATGGTGGAACTAAGAAAGGGGCTGAGTGCATCTCTCCAATAAAAAGACAATTTGATTCATATATCGATGTCTTTTCAAGTGAATGAGTAAATGTGATTCGCTGGCATCTTTTAAATCAAAACCAATTCTTCGATTCAAATCAGTTTTTGTTACACCCCTTTTATCTAATCTACGTGTATGCCCTGAAGATCTTGTTCATTCGCATGGAAAGTTTGACAAGTGACAGAATCAGGCAACCCATCGATTCATCTTTGTGGATTGCGTCACGTACCTGTAAGTCTATCTTGAGCCATTTGTCATGAAATGGGCTCTGAGCATCGAGGTTAAAAGACGGAGAAGGCATCTTTCCCCACCTCCTCACTCGGCTGCAAACGCAGCCAACCTGCAAACATGGGGGGGAAAAACAAAGATAACTGGGTGTAATATCAATCAAGTGACAGCCGAGTTGATCCGTGCAACATAACACACACGTGGCAACACACTGTCTGCTGCATATTGTGCACAGATGTCAAATTCAAGACGTGACGGCCAGGTCCGGAGCGCTGCATTATTTTACGCGGCCCTCTCAAGCAGGGGTGTCCAAAGTCAGTCCTCAAGGGCTGCTGTCCTGCCTGTTTTCAACACAACTGATTCAAATAATCAGGATCGTTCTTATGCTGCTTCAGGACTGACAATGATCATCCTTTGAATCAGGTAAGTTGGAGGAGGGGAAACACACAGGATAGTGGCCCTCAAGGACAGGAGTCTGACAGACGGATTTTAGAATAAATCAAACACTGGCTTAACAAACTTCTGCTTTCAAATGTAGTTATCCCCCATTATTTGAATGTTATTTTTGTCGATATAATCATATGAGAAGCCAATATCACCCTCATAATGAGGAAAAAACAAGATGTGGCCTGAAACCAAATTGAGGTTGACACCCTTGATATAGTGGAATGAAAATTATACTCAACGTACAAAATGCATTGACGACACCGTATGGTAAATTCCGACAGTAGCAGGCCACTGATCTCCTTCTCATCGTATGATGGCGACACTGTTGGAAACTCAATCATCAGATGTTTACAGACGGGACCAGAAAAATAGGTTGCTGCTGCATCTAAATTTAGTTGTTTTTATTTTAATCGCGACGAGAATGTCAGACGGTCGCCGTACCGTTAAACGAACAACACGTTTAAAATAAACATGAGCCGATATGTGAAATAACGCCGATTATTCCAAAGAGGAATTGCCTATGTTCATGTTTGTGTATACTACATATGTGTGCATTTATCGTGACATGACGATGGGAGGGTTAGGTAGAACATCATCATCGTCGCTTTTAAGTACCAGGCGGGCTGCACCCCCCGCCCCAGCCAAGCCCCGCCCCCCCCCCACACACACCCCCGCCCTTACCCTCGTCAGCATCACTCAGGAGCACGGCAAGTCAACATTAGTAAAGAAAACAAGAATAAGAGGAAAGTTCTAAACGTGGCATCGGCCTTCACATTGACAAGATAAAAAAATGCCCCAAAAAATCAAAGTCGAGGGCTGGATTTGGGTGACTGAGAGTAAGACTGTGACAAGAACAGGACCAACATATCTGTGAGAGGCAGCGGCCAGACCGGGATAGGACGAGACCAGCCAAGAACGGGATGAGACAAAGACCATAAAAATCCATTTTAAAAACTGTGACAAGGTCGAACATTGAAAGAGTGTTTTCATTTAATTATCCGTTCCATCCTCATGAGGGTCACGGGGGTCGCGCTGAAGCCGATGGCACCCGGAACTTTTTTGGGGCCCTCAGTCACAAACATTGCAGGAGTGGTGAGGGTGGGTGTCGCTAACACATCAATCAGAGGTATTTATTGTTTGATCGAGTACTTCTCGGTGTCACCATCATAAAGTTGAAGAACAGCAGATCAATGCTGACTGGTCTCAACCCAAAAAAATCCCAAAGTTCAGCTCATGCGAGACTGAGAGAAGACCAAGATTTGGCGGAGTTGAGTCCAAGACAAAGACCTTCAACATGTACTGTAATCTCAAGACAGGTCTCGAGTGTTGCAATCCTACAAACTTCAACATTCATTTATAAACCAAGGAAGTTGGAGACATTGCGCAAGAGCGCTCCGTGTTACGTGGGTCCGTTGTTGAGGGGGCCAACGTCAACAGGCTCCTGGAGGTTGCATGGGAGTTGATACAACCGGTGTGCATGTTCTTTGTGTTTACCCTCATATGGGCGCTTCAGATCCTGTCCAACTGGTTTGGACAGGGAGGTGCTCAGAGTAGAACGTAGATTGACTGGTAAATCGTGAATTTTGCTTTTCGGTTCAGCTCCTTTGTCACCGCGACAGACCGAGACATATTCCTCACTGGAAACAAATCTGAATCTTTGCGGGCCATATGGACCGAACTCTGACACCCGATACCCGATTCCCCCGAGGGACACGGTCGAATGTCTTTGCTAAGTGCACAAAGCACATTTAGACTAGCTAGGCAAACTACTATGCAGCCCCCAGAACCCTGCTGGACCAAAACTACACTACTCCTCTTGAATCCGATATTCAACTGATGGAACCTTCTTTTCAGCACGTTTGAATTGACCTTATCAGGAAGGCTGAGGAGTGTGATCCTACTGTAGTTGGAACACCCCCGCTGTTTGTGACAAAACTACAATTGATTAGGACAATATTTACACTATACAGTATATATTCAGATTCAAAAAACTTTATTTATCCCCGTGGGGCAATTAGAGTATATATGATCTAAATTGAAGTATATATGATCTAAATTGAAATAACCATCATATGTGGCGGTATATTATTGTATTATATGTGCCTCTGATGTAAAAGTAAACTTTTGACTAAACTGTGTCGATGACATCAGTGTTTGTTGTTGTATGAACTTTTCTTAATTAACTGCTTGGGTTCTTTGCCCTCTCCTGGCATGACCGACCAGCTTGTCAACACCTCTGACCGGGTCCCCACAAGACTCATTTAGGGCCATTAATTATTCAAAATGTTTTCACCCAATTTTGACTTGACTAATGAGTCATGTGGGTGTTGCGCGCCTGCACGCGAATGTGTGTGTGTGTGTGTGTGTGTGTGTGTGTGTGTGTGTGTGTGTGTGTGTGGACACTAGTTGAAAAACCAAAGAATAAAACTTTTACAGATACACATGGCGTCATGGCTAACTTTTCTTATGTTATGCACATGTTATGTTTGTTTTCAGCACAGGACGTGCTGAAAACAAACAAACAAAAACGTTCAAACAAACCACACACTTAAAACAAGGAACATACAGAGCCCTTAAGGTGACATGGAAGGAAAAAAAAAAAGAAACATTTGCGTTCGCTCGCAGTTTGTGTTCCCAAGGAAATAACGCAGATTTATTAATTATTGTTTTTATTATTTTGCAAGAGAACGTTTTAGAAAAATCGCAGTTGTGTACTTCCGGGTCATTTCTGGGTAAATGAAAACAACAAAGTGGAGGGTTTGCACAGAAGTTTAATTCCATTTTAATTTTAAATGGTCTTGAAATACCATAACATAAAATGTGTTCTTGGTCGTAAGCACGGTTTCCAAATGTGCGAAAGACATCTGAAGCGTACTGTGGCCTCTGAAACAGCCGCGCGTTACAGGCTACAGGAGCCAAACTGACCCGGAAGTACATAAACGGCCATTAAAAAATGTTTGCTTATTAAAAAAAAAAAAAAGCACAAAACAAAACTTTTGTTATTTCGAAAATTTACCGCAATTTTTTTTCCTAATTCCATGTCACCATACGGGCTCAGCAGGAACAGCATTAGCGTATGTATTAATCAGATTCTTGACCTCATAGGCCGGAATTACAGTACACAGCAAATCCATGTGCCTTCTTCCGATCTGCGCCCATGAGCTAAGTGATATTCCGACTAGTTTTCTACACACCACAGCGCTGTTTTTTAAATAATAATAATTAAAAAAAAACATTACAAAATGCATCGTTTGATTTTGGGGAGCCTGGAAAGAAGTAATGGTAATTCCATTCATTTCACTGTGGCTGGAAATTGTGAAATCTGAACGATGTCATGAAAATGACTTTTTGCTAGCCATCGTCCAGTTTGTTGTTTTGGGGATCGGGTGCTTCCAGTGGTCTAGAAATGCCCCTTTCTGTCAACGTGTGATCCCACGCCTGAACACTGGAGCGTGGGGCGGCTACTGGCTGCTAAACAGGCGACAGACAAGCAGCCCAATCCGCCCGGTGTGCCATTCAGAAAGACTGCCAGCCAGTCGTCATCGTCGCCGCCGCCTTCCCGGTAGTAATGAGCGCTGGAACGATGGAGGTGGATGCTGTGATGGTTTCAACGCGGCCGTGGGTGTGAGCGCTCCTCGGCCCGTTGTCGTGGAGTGTCCGTAGAAAGGTACTTAATCAACAAAGTAATCCAAATAAAAGTGATGTTTTTTTGTTTGATTTAAACGGTTACCGACTTCGCCTAACCAGAGTTAGCCCCTCGTGCTAGTGAAGCTAGCGCCGCCAACGTGTGTGGGGAGTGAGTTTCACTTGCCTTTTTGTTTGATTTAACCTCAAAACAACCCCTTTCGTTTCCTCCCACGTTGGTTTTATATGTTAGTGACAGTCCAAGTTGAGTCCCGAGTTAAAATAAGCCAAATTTAGCCGCGTTGCGATGCGAGCTAGCTACGAAGCTAATTAAGCTCACCTGTCGCGGTCACCTGAGTGTCTGGCGACGACGAAGGAGACGGAGAGAAAGAAGCAAAAATGGTTCTTAACAAAACACAACGCGTGACGAGTCGTCAAAATAGAATAGGCTGCGGTGTTTCCAAAGGAGACCGAGCCGGTTTAACGAGATTCTGCAGCTCGCCATGGAGTGCAACTTTAAAGCTGTGGACTCGTCGTCGGGACCGAATTGGACTCTTTGTCGTGAAAATGGTGCGTGGATTATTTATAGTTGGGATAGAACGTATTCACGTTTGCTTGGATTTTAACTCCTGATTCGTACAATGACTTTGTAACTGTACTTAAATAGATTTGTTTAAGTACCTGTTTAGTTGTCTGACGATTTATTACAGATATATGGACTGTCTACTTCTCACTCTGACAAAATGGGCCTTTTATTTTTTCTTAAACTTCTTTGGATGGAAAAAAAACAACAGAAAATGATATTCTGGTGCTTTATGAGGTGAAGAAAACAGAAACCGCGGTGGCTGAAGGAATGTGAACCGGGAAGCATTAATAACAATCGCGTTACAGATTACGAAAAGCAAGATATTCCCCGTCCATGGCTTTAATTTAAAGAATGGTTTGTGGTGAATCGGTTGGATTGTGCTGTGTCAGCCAAACCACCAGTTTTCACTGTTTTAAAAAAACTGTCAAATATTAAACCACATTCATGATACTGACGGAACAATTTTTCAGTTACTGTTACCTGATACATCTGTAAATGTATTTTCACGATGTTTTGCTCATGCGGGACATACATGCAGCATTTTGATTAATATTGCGTTTTATGGAATATGAATATTATTGAATCTTCTTTGTTAGTGGACTCCTCCATGTACTCAAATTGGTGAAATGTGCTCTTGGTGTTTAGAGCGACATCTTTATGGCTGATCTTCAATCCAATTTGAAGAAAGTCTGAACACCTACTTTGTGTTTGTGTTGTTGTTGTTGTCCCCCCCTCCCTCCTCCAGGCGTGTGGCTCGACTTGAGCTGCGCCTCTGGCCTGCAGAGACTTCTTCACTGCCTGGTTGTCAATGTAACACAGGAGAAAAACAACAACAGCAACAGCAGCAGCACATCCGGCCTTGGAATGGCTCAGGACCGCGGCAAGTACGACTTCTACATCGGCCTGGCTCTGGCTGTCAGCTCCAGCATCTTCATCGGCGGCAGCTTCATCCTCAAGAAGAAGGGCCTGCTGCGTTTGGCCAGGAAGGGATCCATGCGAGCCGGTAACAAGCTTTCAGCGACATGTACACTGTCGACAAATGGCCTCCAATAGGCAAGCACCAGAGGTTTTGGTTAGGTGGATGTGTAGACCACGACTTGTCTCCACGCCAACGATACACAGACAGGCTATTTTTGGATGACTGAGTTCACTGCCGCAAGTGCAGTTTTTACCTTTGACCGACACTTTGCCAGCAGTACGAGCCTTGATTGCGCAAAAACGGCGTGGTCCACGTTTGCCGCTAAAAGAAAATTGGAGCAAGCATCGTTATGTCACATCGGTGACGACAACAAAATCGACACAGTGCTCAATTAAGAGTGGCGTGGATTTCGGGGAAGCGTAAGAGGCCATTTTCTTTTCAACTAGCCTTTCCTCTCCGTCACCGTTTCAGGTCAGGGCGGCCATGCTTATCTCAAGGAGTGGCTCTGGTGGGCTGGTTTACTTTCAAGTAAGTAATTTTTCAACAGAATTCGCACCAACATCACGAGCGTAACCCTGTTTGACTTCCGAGGTGTTCGCATATCAAGTGAATTCATCAGACTGCTCATCATAAAACCTCAAACCACCCGTACAGACGTTTTAAGTTGCACTACGGAAAATAAGTTCGAGACGATCATAAAAGTACCGTATTTTCCGCACAATAAGGCGCTTTGGACAATAAGGCGCAACTTCAATGAATGGGCAATTTTAAAACTTTTCATATCCAGGCCGCACCGCATTATACGGCACATAGAATGAATGGAAGCTTCAATAGTGGCTGCGGTTCTGTTATGCATCCAGTAGATGGAGCTACGCTAAAGTGAAATCAATACAATACGGCTATATTTATATAGCGGGTTGACAACCGCTGCAAATGTGTAACAAAGTGCTTTCCAGAACATTTAAAATACTCCGTCCAAGAAATCAGAATATTGATCCATTTATAAGGTGCATCGGATTACAGGGCGCGCTGTCTGTTTTTGAGAAAATTGAATGCTTTTAGGTGCGCCCTGTAGTGCGGAAAATACAGTATAAGAAATAAAATTGAGTCTTCAAAAAAAAAAAGAAGAAAAATTACCTCAGTTCATGCTTTTGCTTTGTCATTTTCAGTGGGTGCGGGTGAAGCCGCCAACTTTGCAGCGTATGCCTTCGCCCCCGCCACTCTGGTCACGCCTCTGGGCGCCCTCAGCGTGTTGGTCAGGTATGCGTCGAAACGTTTAGACGTTATTCTTACTTTTTTTCCCGAAACCTCACTGGTTGTCACCGATGATGTAATCCTCGTCCGCTCTCAGCGCGGTGCTGTCGTCGTACTTCCTGAGCGAGCGCTTGAACCTTCACGGCAAGCTGGGCTGTCTGCTCAGTGTGCTGGGCTCCACGACCATGGTCATACACGCCCCCAAAGAGGAGGAGATCAGCAGCCTGGAGGACATGGCGCGAAAGCTGGTCGACCCAGGTAAACGCGCACGCCGTGTTGGATTAGGAAGAAAAAAAAACACACACGCAGAAGTGAAAAAGGTGCTTATCCTTTGAAAATATGATTGAACAGTTGTTTCTCTGGGGCTGTAAATATATTAAGTCATAATGTACTAAGGGTTGCGCGCAGCATGGCGTGGATTTTTTTTTTTCGGAAGCGTTATCGATATCAGTATCGATAAGTTGTGTTACGGGGGGAAAAAATAGCTCGGCCCTAAAAATACATTTGGGGACACACAAAACCATCTCTGATTTAAAATTTGCTGTTGACCAGTGTACTAGATTCCAATTAATTGCAACCTTAATGTATTGCAAATAAGTTTGATAGAGGTGTACAGAAATAAGGTTCTAAACAGTAGTGATAAAAAGATTAGATGGGAATGTATTGTATTTACATAAAATACAACCAAACTATATTTAACAAATGCGTTGTATTAGATTAAAAAAAAAACTAGAGGCACTGAAATACTTTGTATAACTAATGCACCGTTTTGAAGATTGAAGTCAACAGTTCTTCGACTTACCACTAGAGGGAGCCCGCGTAGCAAATTCAGAAAATCACCGCACTTCGCTGCTGTATACTTGCGGTACACATTTTTCCATTTCTCGCCCAGCTTCTTCTGATCCTTTGCACTGCGTGTGTCTGATTAAGGCTTCTTCATCTTCGCCACGGCGGTGGTCACGGTGGTGTTGGTGTTGATTTTGGCGGTGGCCCCACGCCACGGTCAGACCAACATCCTGGTGTACATCAGCATCTGCTCGCTCATCGGCTCGCTGTCCGTGTCGTGCGTCAAGGGCCTTGGCATCGCCATCAAGGAGGCGCTGGGCGGCGTCAATGTGGCGCGCGCCCCCCTGGCCTGGCTGCTTGTGGTGGGCCTGCTGGTCTGCGTGGGGACGCAGATCAACTTCCTCAACAAGGCGCTGGACATCTTTAACACGTCCCTGGTGACGCCCATCTACTACGTGTTCTTCACCACTTCCGTGCTAACCTGCTCGGCAGCGCTCTTCAAGGAGTGGCAGCACATGGGCGCGGCGGACGTCATCGGCACATTGGCCGGCTTCCTCACCATCGTGGTGGGCATCTTCCTGCTGCACGCCTTCAAGGACGTCAGCGTCAGCTTGGCCACGCTGGCCGCCGCCGTGCGCAAGGACCAAAGGCACGCCAACGGCGCCTACGCCGACGCCAACGGCACGTACCAACTCCTCCACAGCAACGCCGACGTGGACGAAGAGCGCGAGACGCCGTTCGACGCCGTCTCCAGGCGCAATGGGACCTTGGTGTCGTAGAGACAATCTGGTCCAATGGATTCTACTTGTTTTCCTTTGCCTTACTTTCCCCCCCTTGTCTCTTTCCATTCAGTTGTAGCACTGGGGGGGGGGGGGATGGCTGTGTTGGGAATCACTACTGTCCACGATGGCACTGTGGGAAACCTTTTTATCGTGGGCCCCACACGCAAGGAGGAAGTTATGAAGTGAAGATCATGAACTTGACCTCCATGTATGGCGCATATACAATTGCCCTTCCATTTATACAGTTCAGGAAAGTAATCAAGAAATCACAGCCAGTTTCTCAAGATTTTGCTGTGGAGCAATACAATAGTTCTCTGCTATTCACCGGAGATGAAGATGAGGCCAGCCTGCAAACAGGGAAAATCTCTGTATAATCAACACCCATCAAAATTTAAAAAATCAATTAAAAAAAAAAGAGAATTATTAAAAAAAAAGTACAATAAATAAATCTGCAAATATATAACTAAGTATGCAGGGTCCACTATCAATATGTTTTGAGTAAAATGGACATTTAGGTTTCACTTTATCAGCTGCTCAAGACCAGCTTTGTTCTGGGACAGTGCTTCTATGTCAAATCACTCTTATTCCAAATCAGCTTTCCCGATTGCATTCATCCATTCCGGTGTTCCAATAAGCCGCCAATGAATATTTTTTATAATGTTAAGGAAAGTAGCACTTTACAGTATTTGACTTCATAAAAACATAACATAGTTGAGTAAAAGTAATGGACTATTTTTCTTACTAGAAACACACTACATAATGTTTTAGGGGGGGGTGGGGTCCGGCAAATTAACAAATGGCATTTCCATTTGATTTAAGAGAAGAGCGAGTTTAAGGCACCACTTTATTGTAATCTTGAGTATTTACCTGCAGAAAATGGAAGAATGGTAAAACTACAGTACCACAATCCCCCCCCCTTTTTTTTTATTTTTTATTCGTGACTTGGCGAGTGATTCCTGACTTGAACCTTCCTATTGCATTCCTGCGTCAATTTGACCCGTGGTATGTGTTATGTTGGTTTGTTTTGCTATACCAAAAATGATCATGGATCAAAGTGGCCTGCTGCATGTTCAGCCAGCAAGAAAATAAATACAAACAGTTTAATCGCCAATATTGGCTCTTAAATATTGGGGGGGGGGGTTAATCCCATTTCTGTAAATTTCGATGGGTAAATTTGAGAAATTTTGAGATCCGAGCACAGTCACAGAAGGAATTAAACTCATGGGCGTACTTACTCCCCTCCCCTACTCAATTCCAATCATTTCTCCTGGTACATGAATTATTCATGCGGCGGGCGGGTCATATCAGCTTATCAGTCACCGGATCGCCAAGTTGAAAATATGTGAAACAAAGCATTTTCATTCAAGTGACCAGAAATGTCATACTTTTTTTTCTTCTT